ACACACTTATGGGGATCACAATACACCCATGGGGAGCACAACACACCCATGGGGAGCATAGCACACTCATGCAGAGGAAGGTATTCTCCTGGCTTCTGCAGCACTTGAGAGTACAGAGTAGACACAGTGGGGCTTGGCTGCCCACTGCTGGGTACAGGATACTGAAGAGAAAAGCAGGAGCCATCAATGCAGCCAGCTTCCCCTCCCCAGCTGGGGTTTAGGGAAATGGTTTCTCCTGCCGGCTCCCCCAGGCATCCGGGGCTGGCAGGGGCAGCAGACAGCAGGTGGCTTGGAAGAGCAGGCTGAGGCTTTCCAGTGGTCCTTGCCAACAGAGGCTCTTATAAGCCTCTGAGCTTCCAGGGACCAAGGGCCGCCACCATGTCCACTCTGCACCCCTGCACCTGCATCTGGGCCTGGCTTCTCTTGACCTTTCCTGTGTTCATAGCCCTAGCAAGGCAGCTAGAACAGTCTCCAAGGACTATAGGTCCAAGTGCCCACCTGAGTGATTGTGATGGAGCCCAGGGTGCAGGGCGCCAGCAGGCTTGCCTCTCTCTCTCTCTCTCTCTCTCTCTCTCTCCCATTTCTTCCTGTCTCCCTCTCCATGTCTACCACGTCTATCTCCATGTCCTGATTTTCCATGCTTCTCTTCTTCTCTTCCCAGCTTACTCTACTCCCCTGAAGTCTCTCACCTCTGTGGTTCTGCCCATTTCCCTACCAGGGAAGGGCCACAGTTCTTCATCCCCTGAAAAGCTTGGGATCACTCAAAGTGTCCCTCCTGATCACCATGAGGATCCCCTGGCCAACCCTAGTTTCCCTCCATGCAGTCTTCCCCAGGGACCTCCACCTCACCCTGAACCATGGTTCTCCTTGGTTGTGGCTGGCTCAGCTTGCCTCTGAGGACTGGCAGGTAGACTTCCTGACTTCTCTGTGTCCCTTAGACCTGTCCGTCATAAGGATACAAACTTGCTACCCTCTTCCAGACCTCTCTGTATCCTAACTCCCATTTCCCCATTCCTTCCATCCTCCCCGTTCCCTCCTCTGCTGTGCCTACACCTCACTCCTACCCCCACTTCCCAGAATTCCTCCTGTCAACTGTTCTCTGTTCATTGCCTGGGGCAGACCCACACTAGCGCCTCATGGGAAGAAACGCAAATCAATTTACTGGACTCAATGACACCCTGTTTCCTTGATATGTGTCCCTTAAAGCCACTTGTGATAGTAACTTTTTTTAAAAAAAAATTATTTATTTTTGTATTTTATGTATGTATGACATGTCCACATGCCAGAAGAAGACATCGGACCCCATTCATTATATGTGGTTGTGAGCCACCATGTGGCTGTGAATTAAGAACTCAGGACCTCTGGGAGAGCAGTCAGTGCTCAGTGCTTTTAACTGCTGAGCCATCTCTCCAGCCCAATAGTGTTTTGTTTTGTTTTTAGGTTTTGTTTTTGTTTTTGTTTTCTAGACAGAGTATCATCACTATGTAGCCTGGCTGTCCTGGAACTCGCTCTGTAGACTCAAACTCATAGAGATCCACCTGCCTCTGCCTCCCAAGTGCTAAGATTAAAGGCCCAACTGATAGTCAGTCTTGGTTGTTAATGAGACGGGATTGAGAAGCACCTAGATCAGTATTGCACACGTGTGGGAGGGAGAGTTAGGGAGGAAGGAAGGTTCCCCCTACCTTCAGTGACAACATCCAGTAAGCTCCAGGCCAAGATGGGAGAGGGAGAGAGGAGGCCGCCTGGGTACTGGCCGCCTCTCTCTGCTTCCTGGCTGCTATGATACAAGGGACTTTGCTCCAGAGGCATTTGAAGCCATGAGCCAAAAGAATCCTCCTCATTTTAAGTTTTCTTTGTCACAGGAAAAGCATATGGAATGGAGTCACCAAGGTTACCAAACCCGACCACTGACTCTTCTCTGTTTTATCAGGAAAAGTCTGGAAATGCAGGACTAACTGGGATGCATCCCTAGGGTCCCCATGTTCAGGGGGCAGAGGCAGGGGAGCACAAATAAAGAAATAAAGAAAAAGCAGGCTCCAAAGCTACGAAGAAACCCTGTCTCAAAAAACAAAAAGAAAAAAGAAAGAAGGAAAGAAAAAGGAAGGAAGAAAGAAAGAAAAAAAGAAGGAAAGAAAGAGGAAGGAAGAAAGAAAGAAGGAAGGAAAGAAAAAGGAAGGAAGAAAGAAAAAAGAAAGAAGGAAAGAAAGAGGAAGGAAGAAAGAAGGAAGGAAAGGAAGAGGAAGGAAGAAATAAAAAGAACTAGAGCTGGAGAGACCCCTGGGGTCCCCATGCTCAGGAGGCAGAGGCAGGGGGAGCACAAATTCCAGCCCGGCCTTGGATACATGTGAAGACCCTGTCTCCAAAAATTAATTGACCATGCATGATAGCCCATACCTTTAATCCCAACACATGGAAGTCAGAGGCAGGTGGATCTCTGTGAGTTTGAGGCCAGCCTGGTCTACAGAGAGAGTTCCAGGACAGCCAGGGCTACATATTGAGATCCTCTCTCATAAATTTTTTAAAAATATTTATTTATTTGTTATATATACAATATTCTGTCTGTGTGTATGCCTGCAGGCCAGAAGAGGGCACCAGACCTCATTACAGATGGTTGTGAGCCACCATGTGGTTGCTGGGAATTGAACTCAGGACCTTTGGAAGAGCAAGCAATGCTCTTTTACTCTGAGCCCTCTCTCCAGCCCCTCTCTCATAAATTTTAATTAATTAGAAATAAATAAAAAGAAGTAGAGCTGGAGAGATGGCTCTGTAGCTAAGAACACATCCTCTGCAAGTGTGAGGACTGGAGTTTGGATTCCAGCTCCCGTATAAGAGGATGGGTGTTCTAGCAAACATCTGTGAACAGCTCCAAGATGGGAGAAGAAAGGGTTTCTAGGGTGGTGTGGGAAGTCCTTCTGTCTGTGTGTTGCTTTTCTTGGTTAATGAATAAAGAAACTGCCTTGGCCTGTTGATAGGGCAGAACTTAGGTAGGCGGGGAAGATGGAACTGAATGCTGGGAGGAAGAAGGCGGAGTCAGAGAGACGCCATGGAGCTACCAGAGTCAGATATGCCTAATCTTTGCCAGTAAGCCACTACCACGTGGCAATATACAGACTAATAAAAATGGGTTAAATTAAGATGTAAGAGTTACCCAATAAAAAGCTAGAGCTAAGGGCCAAGCAGTGATTTAATTAATATAGTTTCTATGTGGTTATTTTGGTTCTAGGCAGCCGGGATGAACAAGCAACCTCCTTCTACACTAGGGCTTGCTGGCTTCCAGGCTAACAGAGAAAACTCTTCCTAGGTTCAGGGAGAGACCCTGCTTCAAAGAAGAGGTGGAGAGTGGTGGAGGGGAACCCCCTGCACATTCTCTCTCTCTCTCTCTCTTACACACACACACACACACACACACACACACACACACACACACACATGCATACACACACAAATTTGATAATTTTTTATTGGGACATGGTAACTGACAAATTTGATAATTTTTTAAAATATTTATTTATTTATTATGTACACAGTATTCTATCTGAATGTATGCCTGATGGAGGTGGGTCTTGTATCTTATCTGTTGCTTTCATTGGTTAACTAATAAAGAAAACTGCTTGGCCTGGTAAGACAGAAAATTAGGTTGGCGGAGTAGATAGAACAGAATGCTGGGAGAAAGAAGCCGAGTCAGGCAGTCGCCATGATTCTCCCACTCCAGACAGATGCAGATTAAGATCTTTCCTGGTAAGCCACACCTCGTGGGGCTACAAACATTATTAGATATGGGTTAGATCAATATGTAAGAGCTAACCAATAAGAGGCTGGAACTAATGAGTCAGGCAGTGTTTAAAAGAATACAGTTTCTGTGTAATTATTTCGGATAAAGCTAGCCATGCGGGCGGCTGGGTGCCAGGAACGTAGCCCACCACCACCGCTCCTATTACAACATATGCCTGCAAGCCAGAAGAGAGCACCAGACCTCATTACAGATGGTTTTGAACCACCATGTGGTTGCTGGGAATTGAACTCAGGACCTTTGGAAGAGCAGGCAATGCTCTTAACCACTGAGCCATCTCTCCAGCCCCTAAATTTGATAATTTTTAAAAGTGACAAGCATATTTGGAGGCAGAGATAGATGGATTTCTGAGTTTGAGGCCAGCCTGGTCTACAGAGCAAGTTCCAGGACAGCCAGAGCTACACAGAGAAACCCCATCTCAAAACAAACAAAGTGACATGCAATTTAAATAATTCATAGAACGCTGTCATCAGAGCTAACAGGTAGTTCCGATAGATGCTCAGAAGGCAAGCATGCCTATAGAAATGCGGACACTGAAGCTGTGCTCATGAAGTTTCAGACGGGAGCAAGGACTGAGCTGGGTGTTGGACTAGATGCCACTCCTGTGAGATACTAGCAAAGAATTTGTTCTCGTGTTGTCTGTGTCCTGAGACTTTGAGGAAGGGCTAACAGTGATGAGATCGTTGGTTTGGCAGAAGGAATGTCAAGGCAGTTCAGAATTCAGGCTGTGGCATGGTCACTACTGGCTACTGTTAGCCAGATTTATGGTGAAAATGAAGATCAGCAAGTAGACTCAAAACGTGCTGTTCAATCAGAAAAGTCATGAGAATTGAAGCTAAGGGAGGAGAAGTGAAGCATGAATAATAAAAACTCAGAGAGAGAAATTGGGGTTCAACATGAAGGTCAGAAAAGTAAAACAGCCAGCTCTTAACCTCTACCTCAATCTGAAATGGCAATCCTGCCTCCAGAAAACCTCAGAATGAGACTGAGAGCTGTCTCCTCCCATCTTATATTCCTCTCCCTAAAGATGTATTTTATTTTAACTATGTATAGTATATATAGATATATTTTGGGGGGAGGGCACTTGAGTGCAGTTGCCTCAGAAGTCAGAGATAGCAGATTCCTCCAGATGCTGGAGTTGCAGATGGTTGTGAGCTGCCTACGGTGGATGCTGGGACCAGAACACAGGTTCTTTGCAAGAGAAACACTTTTAACTGTTGACGGAGGCTGTGGGACTGTTGACGGAGGCTGTAGGACTGTTGGTGGAGGCTGTGGGACTGTTGATGGAGGCTGTGGGACTGTTGACAGAGGCTGGGGACTGTTGGTGGAGGCTGTGGGGCTGTTGGTGGAGGCTGTGGGACTGTTGACAGAGGCTGTGGACTGTTGGCGGAGGCTGTGGGACTGTTGGCGGAGGCTGTGGGACTGTTGGCGGAGGCTGTGGGACTGTTGATGGAGGCTGTGGGACTGTTGGTAGAGGCTGGGGACTGTTGACAGAGGCTGTGGGACTGTTGACAGAGGCTGTGGACTGTTGGTGGAGGCTGTGGACTGTTGGTAGAGGCTGGGGACTGTTGATGGAGGCTGTGGGACTGTTGGTGGAGGCTGTAGGACTGTTGGTGGAGGCTGTAGGACTGTTGGTGGAGGCTGTGGGACTGTTGATGGAGGCTTTGGGACTGTTGATGGAGGCTGTGGGACTGTTGGTAGAGGCTGTGGGACTGTTGACAGAGGCTGTGGACTGTTGGTGGAGGCTGTGGGACTGTTGATGGAGGCTGTGGGACTGTTGGTGGAGGCTGTAGGACTGTTGGTGGAGGCTGTGGGACTGTTGGTGGAGGCTGTGGGACTGTTGGTGGAGGCTGTGGGACTGTTGGTGGAGGCTGTGGGACTGTTGGTGGAGGCTGTGGGACTGTTGGTAGAGGCTGGGGACTGTTGACAGAGGCTGGGGACTGTTGGCGGAGGCTGTGGGACAGTTGATGGAGGCTGTGGGACTGTTGATGGAGGCTGTGGGACTGTTGATGGAGGCTGTGGGACTGTTGGTGGAGGCTGTGGGACTGTTGGTGGAGGCTGTGGGGACTGTAGGAGATGCACTGAGTCTATAGGGCATTTGGCTTGTAGGACGGACATGAGGGTGGATGTCCTTTAAAGCAGCGTGTTCGGTGCCCGGTTGATAGGGCAGATTGGGACGCTCATTGGGATTGTCACTTGAGTGCTGTATTAGAAAAGCGTGTCTCTGGGTGTGTCTGTGAGGGCCTTTCCCAAGAATCTTAAGGTGGCATATCATCTGTGAACGTGGGTGGCCTCACACTGGGACCCTGACAGAATAAAGGGAGGAGAAAGATAAACCCTTGGTGTAAGCTATGTCCTCTCCCTCCCCTTCCCTCCTTTAATGAGAGGCACACCCAGGAGTGGAAACAAATAAACCTTGCATTGAATTGTGTCTGCAGATACTGTGCTCACGGCTGCAGGACACAACGCTCAGGGAGCTCTTTCCGCTCTACCTCTTGGTTAACTGATGTAATGGAGATTTAGATGAAAGTGTCCCTGCATAAACTCATGCGTTTGTTCTCGAACACTTGATCTGGTGGCACTGTTTGGGGATGCTTAGGACTGTGGCCTCACTGTAGGAAGTATGTCACCAGGTGCGTCTGCCATGGTGTACCGCTGTGATGTACTCCGATCCCTCTAGAACTGTAAGCCCAAACAAGCCCTCCCTTCTACCAGCTGACTTGCTCATGGTGTTTCACCACAGAAAGTTCCTGACACAGGTGTCTGTGGCTCTGCCTTCGCCCTTGGCTTTCCCCAGCAGTGCACACAGTGCTTACGACTCCCAGGAAGCTGGTCCTGTCATCTTCTAAACACCAAGATTCATCATGTCTGCTCCCCTGCGGCCTCTCCACCTAACATCTCAGGTCACACAGTCCCCTTCCTACCCTGAGCTCCTCCTCCACGCTGGCCTTCCCAGGGAACACAGCCCAGCCAAGGTCCCCGCCACTTTCTCCTGGCCTCCAGCTCTCCCTCATCCCCTTCACCCAGTCAGTCACTGTCTGCGCTTGGGGTTGCTTGAGCTCTGGGTGGTGGGGAAAAATCCATGATGATTTCTCCCTAGCTGACGCTTCTCCTTCTCTCCTGGGACTCCACTGACACATACTGTGTGCTTGGGGTGGCCTTACTGCTCGCCAACAACGCATGTTGTGTGCTTGGGGTGACCTCGCCGCTCCGTCACGCTCTCCTCCCCGCATTCGTCTTCCTCCTCCAGCTTCTGCTTCTCTTCCTTGGTTATTTTTTATGTTTTGGGTATTTTATATGTCTTATGTGTTACTCTATGCCAGTAATCAATCACACCCATGTATTTTTCACCGCCGACACTGTCAACCCTAAAACTTGAATTTAGGTTTGAAGGAGATGGTAAAGTGGGTAAGGGTGCTGTCATCAAGGCTGGCCAACTGGGTTTGAGCTCCAGGATCCACGTGACAGAAAGAGAACTAAGTCCTGCAAACCATCCTTTTTAAGGGGAGAAAAAGATGGTCTTGAATTATGATCCTCCTCCTGCCTCAGCCTGCTCAGCCCCTGGATTCCTGGACTGAAACCATCCACCCAGCTTCTTCTTTGCTTCCTAGGACCTTTTTTTTTTTTACTCCTCTGTTGCAGATCTGTTTATGCGCCGTGCTGAGACTGAGCCACGGCCTTGTTTTCCACCGCTGCGCTACAGCTCTGCCGTCATTATTATTATTTTTTATCCTGTTATGCACCGTGGGTTGGCCTCAAAATCAGGCTCCTCTGCCTGTGTCTCTTGAGTGCTGGGATTATAGCTGTGTATGAACCCGTTCAGTTATGACTGTCAATTTTTTTTATTAGATGGCAGAGGCTGCAAATTTTGGATATTTTCGTGTCTGTGTAAACCTTCGGCATTGTTCCGGAAAGCAGTTCCTTGGGAACCAATCCGTCCTTTCCAGTCTTGTTTTCTGATTTCTCAGGCAGGGCTGGAATGCTCACTTAGGACTCGTTACTGGTTACTGAACATCTCAGAAGCTGCCCTGCCCTGGTTCGAAGGAGCAGCAGTTCTGAGGTCTGGCTGGTGGGAAGGCACCGTTTCCAGGCCTGTGTGAGCACCAGGCACTGTGCTCCGAACCCTTCTAATGGTTCTTTGACCCTTTAAAAACAAATGCATCGGTCAGGCACGGTGGCGCACGCCTTTAATCCCCAGCGCTTGGGAGGCAGAAGTGGGGTGGATCTCTGTGTATTCTAGACCAGCATGGTCTACAAAGAGAGTTCCCGGACAGTCAGAACTGCCACTCAAACAAACCATGTTTCAAAAAGCAAGCAAACAAACAAAAAACCAAACAGCTGCATCAAGCCCTACTAGGTGACTCCGCGGGTCAAGCACCTGCTGCCAAGCCTGGTGATCTGAGTTCAATCCTCAGGAGCCACAAGGCAGAAGGAGAGAACCAGTTCTAGCAAGTTGTCCTCTCAATTCCACATGCATGTCGTAGAATGCACACACACATACACACACACACCACACATAATAAATAAATCTACTTTTAAAGGGGAGGATTTGAAACCAGCAACAGTAAGCTGACTGCAGGGGAACTGCTGCACAGACCTGAGGCCCTGAGTCTGGGGGGACGCCTGGCTGGGCAGTGAGTCTGCTGAGGCGGCAGACAGGGATCTCAGTGGCCAGGCAGCATCTAGCTGAGGTTTGGTGAGAGAGCTCGGTGTGAAGAGCGTGAAGAGCACTTGAAGACAACACCTGACCTTGACCTCAGGCCTCTGCCAGCACCCCCACCCCACACGCACACCTGCATGCGTATTCATGTGCTGTGCACACACGACAAACAGGAGGAGCACACACCACAGGCTCTCCCATAGACACTAAATAAATAATTGAACTAATTAAAAATCCAACACAAACCCACCACATCATGTGTTTCCGGCCAGAAGTGACCATCAGTTGTCAACGACTCCTGAATCTACTGAGCTCCTGCCTCTCAGACGTCCAGATTCCATCACCTCTTACTGGGTGACACCCATAGGCACCCAGGGCTCGGGCTCGGGTCTGCTCCGGTCCTCATACCCAGAAGATGCGCTCGTCTTTCCAGACTCCAGACCCCAGCAGCCGTCTCCCAGCTTTCAGCCCCTCCCCTCATTCCCTTTGCTTTCATTTCAAAGGCCTGCCAGCCTGCCATGGCCTAGCAAGCTGAACGACTTGTCATTCTCCAGGGGGTGCTCCTCTTAGGCAGTCTGTGTTCACAAAGCTCGTCCTGCCAGGAGCTCTGGCCTCCTCTAACCTTTTGCTTCTTCTCTGGGTGAGGCCCAGGCCAGCACTCCCTACTGGAAGGAGGGGAAGGCCTCCGGTTCATTCTGGCTCTTCACGTCAAGCCTGTGAGGTAGACCAGACTCATGGAGGCATGAGGCCCACCCAGCAGCAGAGGTGGCTAGGACCATAGGTCAGGACACCTGCCCTCCTCAGCGTTGCCAGACACACAGGTCACTACCCCAACCCGGTTTACAAGACAAAGAGGTTAGGAGGTCCTTCTTGGCTCCATCTGTTACCTGCTTGCCCATGTAAACCCCACCGTGGAATGAATCATGACTGTATTTCAAACCACCTGTCTATGAGTGCCGGGAAACTGAGGCCCAGTGGCGGGGTTACGGGGTCAGGAGTTATCTGGGCTCAGCATCAGTGGCAGAACTTGCTGGAGGCCCAGTACCAGTTCCCAGTACCGTTCCTCTGGTTCAGCAAGGAGTCTGCCTCTGAGCGTCCTTCAGGCTGGCCTTTTACAATGGAGTCCAGAGTTTCTCGTTGTCTGGTGCATTGCCAGAGCTCGGAGCCCACTAACAGAGAGAAGAAGGGTCACCCTGAAATGGTCACATACTCCAGGAGGAAAGGAAGCTTCAGGCCAGCCGAGAGCCCAAGGTCAACCTGAGGTCAGACGCTGTCCAGTCTAATTATTCATTAACCAAACAAGTCAGGGCACCGAGTTAATGGCCTGTGGAAAGCCGGGGAAATTCTTCCCGGGAAGGCAGAGGGGCCTGCAAGAGAGGGAGGCCTACACATGAGGTCTGGCTGGTGGGAGAACAGGAAATTATACAGGGACCATCCAGAGTGACCCAGAGTGATCTTGTCTGTGGCAGAGGTTGAAGGAGTCTAGTTGGTGACCTGGCCTGGAGGGCTTGCAGAGACCAGCAGATTCTGCCCTACCCTCCCCCACCCCCCACGCAGCACAGAGCCTGTGGCATACTCTGTCTCTCTGAGTTGGTGGCAGCAAGCCAACCCCCGTCCACATCAGGGATTTCTGCAGAGTCGCTGGTCTCCCTGAACCTCCTGTCTTTAGCACATGGCTCTCCAACCATGTTTGTGGACTAGTGTTCAGACAGGGCCAAAGAGAGGCAAGCCATGAGTCTCTCAGGACTGGGGTCCCGGGAAGGGCCTTGGGTGGGGGGCGGGGGGAGGGCCCGGGCTTGTCCTGGAACCCGCGCTGCTGGGGGACTTGAGCTTGGGTGAATCTTGTTCGCTGGGATGGGGCAGAGGATGAAGAGATGGGGTTGATATGGGGTGAGATCTGGGGGAGCAGGTAGGCAGGAGAAAACAAAGTTAGAGATGGAGTCCAGAAAACACGAGGCCCAAGAGACTGGGAACCCAAGGTGGGTGCGGGAATGAAGAACGGGCTTCCTTAGAAAGTGGCAGAAACCCCTCTCAAAGGATACTATGGGGGCTCAGTTCCCTGACCTTGGAGCTGAGGTAGGTCTCGTGTGTGCATCTGTGTGACACCATGTTCAGGTTGCCCCGTTATGTATGACATGTGGGGTCCCGGGAAGGGGGGTAAGCGTCTCCCCTCAGGGTCTCTTCAGCTGGAACCTGCCTGTAAGAAGAAGCCGCTCAAAAGCCATGGCCCCGGAGCTGTGTTCCACTCAATGTGGCAGGTGGGGGTGTGTGGCAGGTTAGTCTCGGGGCCACAGCCCCCTCTCTCCAGCTTGCCTACTTGGGAACTGCTGGACAGCATTAGACAAAGGGGGCTTTTGTTGAAGTGCAAACAAACCTTCACAGCTCCGTCCAGTTCTGGGCTTTGAGAACGGATTTCTACAGGGGGCACTCCTTCCCGG